CTACACCCCTGTTCGGGTACGGAGGGGATAAAGATTTTAGGCCGGAGCAAAGGCGGCAATGCTGCCTAACCAGATGGAGGCACCCACCAGAAAAAATCCTATGGGAGAATACGGACTAATCCTGCTCACCAGAAGTCTTCAGTCTTCATCATGCCTCGAATATTCCTTCCTCTTCCTCTCCTTCTTTCTCATCCATGACTCCCAGCATATTTAGTTTCTCCTTGTCCCAGAATGGAAAAGCCCATGCAAGGTCGTTGCCACTTCCAGACTGGCAGACTCGGAACCACGCTTCTCCACGGTACACACCCGGTCCTATTTCAAGCGACTGAACTCCAGGCCCAGATTGCCGCCGGCGCCGACTAGCAGCACGTTTTTGATTGGCGAGGACATTTGCTTGTCTGAGGCGTTTGAAGGGTTCACCATGGGAGCTAAGGAGTAAAAATTGCGAATTGGGAATTTGAAAAGGGAAGAAAATACTCCTAACCTACTCATTGACTCATTGCTTAGCAGGGGGATCTTGTAGTTATGGTGTCTTGACCTCGTTGTCGGATTCGAAAGGCCGTTGACTGTGCATACTGCATCGTGTTGGTCAGCCCTCGGTCTTTCACGGTGTTTCGATAGTCCGAACAGAAAACGGACACATCAACCACTCCGCCCAAAGGACCGCGCCGATGGGTTTCGAACCACACTTAATTGATGTACCCCTCACTGACTCGCACGTCAAATCATGGCTCATTGGGAATTCTCGTCCTCGGCCATTGTGTTCTCCAGCGAGTCCGAGGACTATCGAGCAAGGACTATCTCGCTTTTGATGGCTTTTGAAGGATTCCCTGGATGCAGTACACTAACAACAGTGAATTCTTGTCCTGAGAGGGGTCCACAACGGGACACAAAGGACTGCGGCCCCTCAGGCTGTAAACTAACGACGTAACTAAATTAGGTAGGGCAAGAAACTCCCTTGCAACTTGACACACTACCATAGTACGTAGATCACTGACCCACTAGCCGCACTACCCCTCTATGGACCTGTGCTTGCTTTGGTCCGCAGTTTAGCTGTCGGATGCCTGTACATCTGGGACATTCGAAACGTCCGTGCGTTAACCGCACTCCAAAACCCACAATTTCTACTTCTGGATCATGATGCTGCAAGTCTGTTGTAGTTGGTAAGACTTTCACTATGATAGTTTTAAGCTCCGTTAGTAATTCAACTACTTCATTGCAGAGGTCAAGTCTTGAAGGACAAGGATGCAGCTGAAAAGAGTTTCAGTCTACTTTCGGTGGTGGAAGTATCAGAATTCCAGAGTGCTGCGCTGGAATTTCATGATCGCAGAGGGAGTTCTATGAGGTGAATGTTGATTGCAGGACCTGGATTCTAGTGGCATTCACACCCGAGTTTGGGCCACGACCGATCAACGGGCGACATTGGTGGACCTACTTTAGGTACAGATATTCGCCTAGACATCCCGTGCTGGATACACTCTAATAGTACATAAGAAATAATATAGGCCTGAGACCGAGTGGCAGTATTGCGATCACAACGCAGCCCAGCATTCGTAGCAGTTCGTAGCAAGTTCAAGGAACCAGAACGGGGAGAGTCTATCTCCCCGTAGGAGTGAGCTGGATGGCGTGACGGAGTCCAATACGAGTACTGGCCTACTCACAATGGCGCACCCCCATCTCAGCCATGGTTCACCATCCACTTATTGAGTATCTTCGTCGAGATCCACGCACTGAATCGGCCCACCCTCATTGTAATGAAGCTTTGCTTTCAAGTCCGAGCATCCTGCGCATTTACCAACCCTTCCTCTTTCCTCCTCATCGAGATGACGACCGAGTCTCTTGCTGATCTTGATATTTTGGACATGTTGAATCGATAATCGAGAATAGTCGTTTACTCTGTTTCCAATATTCCATTGGCGTCGTTCGACGATGATAATTTAGTGGCATTCTGCATTGCCGTTTCTAGACAACGAGACGATCTTTGAAGATGGAAGCCGAGCACGCGCAGAATCTACATGGTGCTGCAGTCAAAAATTGAGGGAAGTATTAGCTGGAGTGCGAATGGTGGTTTAGGGAGCAATGATGATGAGGTTAGGTGAGATCAAATACAGCAGCGAGTATTGATGGATGTAGAGAAAATGTGTTCTCTGTGTAGTAATGCCAAGCTTTCCGTTACTAAGTACAGCATGCATGCGCCCAGCCGAGGTCCAGCCCTACATTTCTCAGACTCCAACTAAGCAGTGCAATCAGGTCACCGCGCTCAATCTGATAACCATCCCAGCCCGATTGTGTTGATCAGCCACGGACGACGCGATCCCAAAAGCCGCCATACGCAATATACTCCTAGCAGTTACAATCGTTCCATGGCTCGAGAAGAGCTCGTCAACTCCGCAGTCACCTTCCTACAAGATCCGTCCACCGCCAGCGCCCCCCTAGACAAACGCATCCAATTCTTACGATCCAAGAACCTGACCCAAGAAGAGATAGACCTTGCTCTTTCACGCGTTGGCGAAGAACCGCAGCAACCCACCCCAGGAAATACTCCATATTACCCCCCTGCTCCGCAACAGCAACAGAATCTCTACCGAAGACAGCCTCCACAATATGGCTACAATCCTTATATGGAGTGGCAACCGCCGCCTCCAGAATTACCGAAGCGTGATTGGAGAGACTGGTTCATAATGGCTACAGTAGTTGGTGGCGCAAGCTTTGGTCTCTATACACTCGCGAATCGCTATATCAAGCCCTTGATAGCACCGCCAACACCACCGCAGCTGGAACAAGACAAAGCCGCTATAGATGAACAATTTTCCCGAGCTTTTGCGCTGCTGGATACGTTGTCAAATGATACGATGACGCTGAAGCAAGCCGAGGAAGCACGAACACAGCGATTAGACACTGCGCTGACGGAGGTGGAAAGCGTAATTGCGGAGCTCAAGTCCGCGAGCCGGAGGAGGGAAGACGAAAGTAGGCGAATAAGTGACGAGGTCAGAGGGTTGAAGGATAGCATTCCTAAGGCGATAGACAGTGTCAGAGAAGGAAGCGAGAAGCGCCTGAAAGAGCTGGGCAAAGAACTCGGCAGTCTGAAATTGCTAATGGGCAATCGGTTCGGCACGAATCCTGTCCCCACACCACCTTCGGGTCACGGACTGGCAGCAAGACAGCCAGCCGAAAGTTTGACGAGGTCTGCGTCATCGAACCTCGTGCCGGAAGCAGGTTCTGGATTTGATGCAAAATTGAAGGAGAATGCCGCCAGATCGGCGGCGACCACGACACCTGCTGCTGCTCCTTCTCACAACCCTTGGTCTACATATTCGGATTCTCCAGCAAGTTCGGCAAGAGTAAATGGTCCCCCAAGTCCCTTTGCGACCATGGGTAAGGCTGCAATACCTGCTTGGCAGATGGCTGCAGCGAAGAACCAGAAGTCCGGTGGGGGTGGTGGAGGAGCTGAGGGAGAGCAGAGTAGTAGCTCGGCAACATAATTGAATTGATTTCCATCAACATCAGTAGTTTTGCTCTGTGCATTTGCGTTGCATTCGACTTCAATCCATTGTTATTGTGCTGTATGAGCCTCTATGTTTTCACTCGATTTCTAAAGGGTAAACCTCATATTTCGTTCTGATCAGTGGTTAGTATCTCCTGTACCGGGTATGTCTCGTTCTCAAGTGCTTCTCCAATCATCAGCCCCCGAATGCACGTCTCTCTGATATTGAGGAAGCCGTCCCCATCTTCCCTCAACAGGTATGGAGCTCGACATCCCAGGATGATGGCTATCTTGCCACCTGGCCGAATATCCAGTGGAATTAGACAGAGTTGATTCTCCACGGTAATAGCAAATCTGCCTCATTGAGCGAGACTTTGGAGATAACCCAGCAACTGGTTCCTATCTCCTCACAACCTTTCTCTAGATGATCAGCCAAAGTTTCTCTGATGTGGTCATCCTCAGGTATATTTGATCAGCGGTCATGTTGGCTAAATCAGCTTCTGGCTGAGTAGCGTATATGTACCACGAATTTATTCAAGCTATATATAACATGAATGTGAGATTCGGTATCGTGACTGATGTGGCGGCCATCATAGTAGAGAATGAGATGCAGAATCAACATCAGGTGAAGATCTACAAGGCTTGACCATGAGACAATATCTCTCAAACTCTTTAACTCGTCCTAAACTACCCCTGTCGTGCTGCTCACCAGGTGCACCAGCCCCTCCGAAATTCTATGGATATTGGTGTCAAATTGAAAATCCTGCGAAAAGTCTGTATTATCGAGCTCACGATGAGTTCTTCGGTTGAAACGACAAGTTTGCAGGTCTGTAGATGGAAGAGGCTTTGGTGTCCCCCAGCTGAGAAGCTGGACGACTCTTCTAGCTTCAGGCCGATAAACACCTGATCACATAGTAGTAGAAGGTAAATACAAGGCTCTTCTGCTCAAACACATGAGCCAGTAAATCTAACCTCGGAACCTTTTACACCACTCCCCTGAATATGCCGATACACCATACATTTTCACCTTCCGAGTGACCATAGCAAATGCTTATCCAGGTTCGAGATGGTCATCATCAAGGTGGGCAACCTTTCATGAACCAGAACCAACCGTTCCGGCAACTCAAGCTCCACCACCAAATCTAGCTCTGGCAAGCTCCTTCAACATGCTCATAGTCTTGGCCTCCTTCTCCCTCATCGCCTGCAATCTCTCCTCCGTCTCTGCTCGCCGCGCCGCTTGATTCTCTTCCCTCCGCATCTCCCTCTCGCTCCTCTTCCGCTCCTCCGTTTGCTTCATCCTCTTGAGATCGTCAAGACCACCTCCGTCGCCCATCAAATCCGAGTCCTTGACCTCAACATCTGCATTGTCGTGCGCAGCGGCGGCAAAAGAGCGATTCAAGTCCGCCTTCTCACGCTTCTTTTCGAGTTGACGCTCCCTTGTGCCGGCTTCGGCCCGGGGAGCAATTTCTTCCAGGCGCTCTTTTTGAATATGTCGTTCTACGCGCCTTTCTACGCGCATAGCTTCCACACGACTTCGGTGTGCTTCTTCGGCTGCTTCTCTTGCTAATTCACGCTGGACTTGTAGATCCTGCATCTTTGCACTCGATGGACCGTGCTTGCGTGCATAGGTCTCTGTCGTTATATTTTGCAGGGCGCTACTTGGAAGTGCAGGGCCAAATTCATCGCCTTCACTATTGGCATTTTCGTAGGTCGGGGAAGCTCGAGTATTGGAGTTTCTTGCAATATTTTCAGATATGGGGTGCGATCGTGCTTTTTCAAGCATCTGGGGATCGTACCACCCTTCCGCTAATTCTCCACGATTCCTCACGCACGTAAGCCTCAGGATATACACCAAAGTAAGATCTAAAAAAGTGCAGGGGGTGTGCTAGCCAAGCTCCTCTTACCATTTTCCCACGAAGCTTTTCCATCTTCCTTTTACCTCATCTTTGGACAGCTCCTCGAGCAGCAATTTCTTCTGAATGTCAAGATAAAGCCCGAACATAGGTCTGAAATGTGCTAGGTCGTGTTTAGATATTGGCCGTGCGTTGAATGGTAAGGTCACTATAGGTGTTTTGGGAGATCGTCTACGATCGTCGTCTCTTCTGAAAGAATTATGAGGACTTCTTGATCGTCGCCTGCTTGTGTCTGAATGTGACGAGCGGTAAGAAGAACGCCTCCTGTAGCCACCCTCATCTTGCAAACTATAATCCGTGCTCGGCATATTTATTAGTACTGGAGGATCCTAGCTAAGTAGAGAGGGTGAATCTGCGGAGGAATTCAAGGGTGAAGCCCAAATAGCGCGCCAAGTTATCGCGAACAAGGGTTTACGAGACTGGAAGGTTTTTGGCTGTGACCCTACAACTAATTTTGATATTCTGTAGCCATGCACATTCTTGTAAGTTGGACTCGCTTATTGAACGCTCATTTCTCCTCTTACCACTCTGTAGGTTACAAACGATGACGGCCCACCCTCCAACCAATCATCGCCGTATGTCCATAGTTTCGTCAGAAGCCTCCAAGCTGCGGGACATACTGTCTCTGTCGTCCTTCCGCATATCCAGCGCAGCTGGATAGGCAAAGCGCACATAATCGGGAAAACTCTGATACCCAGCTACTTTCGGCCAGGAACACTGCACAAAGATGACGGGGTGACTTCTCATCACCCTTTCGAAGACGGCAAGGAAGAATGGGTCTTGATCGATGGGACACCAGCGAGCTGTGTACAGATAGGACTCTGGCATCTGTTTCAAGACCGAGGCCCTGTTGATCTTGTGGTATCAGGCCCGAATTATGGCAGAAATACTACCGCGTTGTTCTCACTGAGTAGTGGGACTATTGGAGGGGCTTTGGAGGCTGCTGTGTGCGGCCAAAAAGCTATAGCGCTCAGCTATGCTTTTGAAAGCAGAGAGCATGATCCCGAAATCATTGCTGCGGCGTCTCAAGTGTCGCAAAAACTGATAGAGAAGCTGACACAGGATTGGCCGGAGGATGTGCACCTCTACAGCATCAATGTACCTTTGCGAAATAATGTTGCGGAGGCAAAGATCTTGTACACGAATGTGCTGCAGAACAGATGGACGACTGGGAGCTCTTTTGAGGAAGCTGAAGTGGAGGAAGAGGTGGATCCGGCTGAACAGGAAAAAGAGATACGTGAAGGAGAGCGGAATGGAACAAATGGAGCAGACGAGAGCTCCGTGGCCAGGCGGAAACAGAAGAGATTCAAATGGGCTCCCAAATTTACTGATGTGCATGAATCGGTAAGAGCAGCAGGTCCCGGCAACGATGGTTGGGCAGTAAAGGAAGGGATAGTAAGGTATATTCCCTATCGGCCAAGTGCAAGAAGGCAAGCTGATTCCAGCAGTGTGACCCCTCTCAAAGCCAACTTCTGGCATGTCCCGAACATCAAAGGAGAAATAAAGCTGTGAGTAAGTCGGCCTTTCAGATTCTTGATTTGAAGAGCAGCACAGCCAGCGATGGCGCTTAGAAAATTGCCTAGACTTAGATCAAGCATGAGAATAGACTTCTACCTAGAGCTTTTCTGATCATATATATGCTGATTAGGTCGTCCACGACGTCCATTTCTGGGGATCAGATTCTGGCATCATCATCCATGCCGAAGCTATATGCTATAATCGACTACCCAGATCCATACGTCCAGCCATTGATTCTCAGTGCAATCAGATCAGAATTGAAAGATCTGGATGTCAAGCTCATATCCTCGGTTCAGCAGCTCCCATCTTTGGCCTCACCTCTTCTCCAATACAGAGACTATGAATCCCTGGATTTTGAGCATGCACTCGATCAACCCAGATCATCGCTTCTCTGCGCATACGTGGTACGAAAGGCTCTAATTCGCAAGCATTATCTCTCCAACACAATCTCGACATGGCTGGTAAAGCATCCACAGAGCCCGCTGAAAACACACTTCAAAGCAGCCGTCAACTTCGAATTGGATTATGCTGATTTTCTGGATGAGGCTCTGGTAGATGCTTGGGATCTGAATGATAGTATGACGCGCAACGAAGCACGGGGAAATGATAATGGAAACAAAGAATGGTGGATCTTGAAGCCTGGGATGAGTGACGGAGGGAACGGGATCAGGCTGTTTTCTAGCATGCAACAACTACAGAGCATTTTCGAAGAATGGGAAAGGGACGAAGACAACTCCGGAGGAGAACAGGAAGAAGAAAAGGAAGAAAAAGAGCAGTTTCACTCACCAAGTTCAGGTAACAAAGTACCCACATCAGCATCTTATGGTGGCACTATGACTTCTCAGCTACGCCATTTCATCGCTCAACCGTACATTGATCCGCCTCTGCTCCTTCCAAGCAGAGAAAACCGCAAGTTCCACGTCCGGGTCTATTGTCTTGCGGTTGGTGCACTGAAGGTGTACGTGTACAAGGAAATGCTGGCGCTGTTTGCCGCGAAAGCCTACCAACTCCCATCCCACCTGGAAGTTGATCTACCATGCCACCTGACCAACACATGCCTCCAAGATGGTCCAAGTCGAGAAGGATTTGTTGCCCGATACTGGGATCTCGAGGATGCGACCCATGGCCCCGATTGGAAAGAGAAGGTATTCGAGCAAATTTGCGAGGCTACGGCAGCGGTCTTCGAGGCTGCAGCAAGGGAGCAGATGATAAATTTTCAGACTCTGCCTAATGCGTTCGAGGTGTTTGGAATAGACTTCCTTGTCGACTCCTTTTTGAGAGCCTGGCTTTTAGAAATAAATGCATATCCAGACTTCAAGCAGACTGGACAGCAACTACAGGATACAATCATTGGTGGGCTCTTCCGCCAGGTGATGAAGGTTGCAGTCCGACCGTTCTTCGACAAGGAAGCAGAAGACAATGATAGCCAGGGCAGTAGTGAGATGCGGCTTGTTAAAGACATGGACATGGGTAGACGATAACGGCCGACGTCTGCTTGATGCGAAAGGTTGATCTCTCCTGCTTCGTCTTTTAGGTTGACCGCTTTGCCTTCATTTCCGTACGGCCATCCCCGTTTTCTACCGTTGGCCGGTAATACTGGCTCTAAGGATAGCTCCTGGGTTCATGCTAGGTGAAAGCCAGCCTGAGTTCACTAGAGAGATGCCGATGAGGAGCACGGAGACTTTGAATTTAGGATAGGTGTGATTAAATGGTTCAGCACAAGTACATAACCGTGCTTGAATTGTATAGCCCTATTCAGCTAGGAATTGGAGGAACCCTTGCCATTGACACTCCAAGCCTAGCCGTCAGATCATCCTACAGATGAGATGTCATCACTGTTTCCTTTAACAATCTCGTTCGACACGTATCATACCAATGAGCACAGTTCTGGAGATTCTCTCTACACTTCCACCTCTTCCACAGCTAGGTGCTCTTTGAGCTTGTTTACTGCTATGAAAGGACCTACTCGTTTTCTTGCTTTCTATCGCTGGCTCCCTGCGTTGCATCCACTATCCTCATCGCCCTGCCACCCAAACTGAGTACCAGCAACACCTCCTGTCACACATCGCGGAATACGAAGGTCATGTCGTTCTTTGGAGAATCTTGGTGAAAAACGGAAAAGGCTCATGTTCCGCTTATCACGACCTTTTACCTTATTGTCACCATTCTGATAATCTATCCTCGCCCATACTCATCCACTTCAATCACACGTCGTAAGCAAACATCCTTCATGCGCGTCCGATGTATAACCGCTGTTCTACGCGCTTCTGAATCCAAGACTCCACCTGCATTCTTTTTTTCCGGGACCAAAGTGGATGATCCCAAGCTTTATCAATGGGCTAAACTGGCAATCTTAACCCGTGAGCTCGAACCATGTTGGTCGGAAGACTGTAAAGCGGCACTTGGTTGGGTTATCGTTACATGTTTGACTGGTTTCTCTGTCTTGGAGTCGAGTTGAATGTCGGGTTGTGTTGTCGCAAGCAAGAATAGATGAGGCTTACAGACAGGAGTGGTACTGATACGAACTCAACAGCAACCCGAAGGAGCTTCAACTCGATAAAGATTCATCGAGAGATGCGACGTTCGAGACAGGTGAATGTCAGGAATGCTTCCTCGATGAAGTGAAGGTTTGCCCAAGGTGCTGCAAGGATTCGATAAAACGATGGCAATCATGCCATCCCGAGGTGTTGGATATCTGCAGTTCTTGTGCACCCATTGACTCTCAGGATGACCTTGAAGAGCGGGAATCGCCCGTGGGGAAGGAGGGAATATTAAAAGAAGACTGGAACATGAAAGCGCCCTATTTCTCTCGCATCATCCACTAGACCAAGGACAACCATGAAGACATGAGAACGACAGGTTACCTCAGTAGGTCCCAATCCAGATCATCATCACCTTCCATATTCACCTCAGGCCTTCTATTGTGCTGCTTGCTGACGTTCGCCGACTTACTTGGTGTATTAGGAAACACCGCATCGCCTGCTGCCAATCATACGTGATTAGCTAGATACTTGTGCCTCAAATGAATGCTTTCATAAAAGTGTCCTATATTCTCATGTCCGAAAGTCAGGATACTATATCCACATCCGATTCTTGACCTCTCCAAATTCCATTTCCACTTTGAGACCCCAGCATACGTGACTGTAGCCTGAGCGATAAATAAGCAGCCCTGAGCTGTGGCTGTGCAAGGCTGTTCTGGGTCTGAGCAGCCCTAAGCATCCATCAACATCCCCTGAGCATCCCCTGAGCATCCCTGAGCATCAACTGAATTCTTCCTTTATACAACCAGCTCTGATAGTTCATTGTGGGGAGTTGAGGACTTGGATTGGGCAGTTGGCACGTTGGTGTGGAGTTCTAGCATTTTGATGTGTCGTCAACCCAATAAGTACAGTCATAGTCCGGAGCTAGGTGACGGAAATAGTGGGACTTCCCGCCCTGGAGCACTCTATTACTTCTATCTTCAAAATGGTATAGGAAGACCATTTCGCTCATTTACAGCAGCTACTCTTTTGGGCATCGTAGCAATTGCCTTATTGATCTCCTCCAGAGTTATTTTTTCCCATTCCTCCTCAATTGCCCGCCGCAGCTCCTCTGGATCAGTAATAAGGCCTCGATTCTTTAGCCTCTGCTTCAACAACCTCCAGATACTCTCAATAGGGTTCAAATCTGGCGATTCTGGGCAATTAGCTTCCCAATGGATCCCTAGACGAGCTTTGGCCTTTTTGACTTTGTTTTCGGCCTTGCCACGAGTGCCATGCGCATTGTCATTATCCTCTAGAAGTATCCAATCCTTATCCCAATTGGGAGTGATAACTTCTTCTAAAAAAACGAGATAATCAGCTTGTGTAAGCCGTCCGCCACCCCCTGCGCCTGTGTAGAAGTGTAGAGGACTCTTGTAATTCCATCCAATGTACGCAAATACATGCCAAATTTGGTTGCGCCGTTTCAATCGAAATTGGATCTTAGAAGGAGCATTTCGTGCTTCTGTGCCGCTTCGACGATGTACTATAGCTTGACGTTGTAAGCCACATGCAAAATGACACTCGTCGCTGTATTTGTATTGCTTGAATTTCTCTAAATTCTAATGCCGACGTTCAAATCCCCACATTTCGCGTATCTTAACATTTTTAGAATGGATGTATTTTTTCTGCTGCGCCCTATAGGTGCCTACTCCAAATTGAGCCATATTCCGTTGAGTTGCACGTTCAGATCCTTGACCTAGGCCAATAGAGCTTGCTATGGCATAATGAGAGGCAGATGCAGCGCGAAATGAGCTATCTTCAACCGTCTCAATAGCCTCACATTGATGAGGCTCCAAGGCAGGTTTTCGACCACGATTATGAACGCTATTGCTACGGCGCGTAGATTGTGATTTGAGGATTCGATAGCCTGTTGTTTTTGGTATACCAAGTGATTCAAATAGCTTTTTTCGAGGTAGTTTGCCTGCTGTAGCCTGCGCGGCGCAAAGAAGTCGCGTACGCCGTGGAGTATCAACTATCATATTTGGCTCACATGGAGGCTCTGTGGGTATCGAAATCGACGAATCAGGCTGTCGACAGTTTTTTCGAGTAGTTTTGCGATATTTAGCCATTTTTTAGCTGATTTGAATAACAATTGATGGAATAATAGAAAATAGAAAAAAGGGGGTTGTTTTGAGGGTGGGCGGGAAGTCCCACTATTTCCGTCACCTAGCTCCGGTCCGCCGTAGCCACCTAACAACCTTACCAAGCCCAAGCCGATATGAGGCTAGTCCTATGAGTTTCATCAAAAATGGTTCAGCAATACCATACGGAGTCAACTTCGCATTTACCAAGTAAACAGTGTGCAAAGTCTTGAATCACTGTCCAACAGCCTGCAGGAGGTGGAAGTATCGATTCAACTGACATTTGGGCTTCTCTACTCAAGACTCTTATACATTTACGATCAAAGAGCATAGTCGAATATTTAACCCATAATGAACTAGGGTTCAGACCTTCCCTGAGTAGTATGTGTATGTATTTCTAGCGCCCAATTAACCCTACTTCCACCCGCTATTGGAAGACTTTACATAATATTGTGTGGATTGCCTAGCCTCAAGACCTGGATGTTATCCGTGTGGAAGAACGGCAAACCTGCCACAATGATGTCTATTGTCCCCATTTAAACCGTCTCGATCCATTGTAAGGTGAACTAAAATCTGCAGCTTTGTGCACCTCATCATCGAGGGTTGAATCAAGGCATAGCCCAGATACGATGAACATGTCCCCGATCCAGAACAAAGCATGATCGGCCCACGTCAGCACTGATTCTAGCAGACAGAGCGCCGATCACGTCAACCATTGGTGAATTTCCCAATCCGATTGGCTGCGCACTTTATTGATCAAGGTATAGACTACAAACCTCTGCTCCCGAAATTGCAGAATCCCCCTCCAAAACGATCTATTTATGCCTAATGCAGGAGAACATCTTCGGAAAACCTTATGTGAAAGGTTGCAGGGATCATCCAATCATTTTTCTTGCTTGAAGTATGACATGATTCGGCAAAGTCAAGTCTGGGTCTCATATCGGCTTTGGGGCAACAAAATTATATACTACGGGTACAGGCCTAAATAATGTACCCCCCCCCTGGTGAAAAGGCTAGTATTCGTACAAAACCTACTATGCAGAATTGAGTATAGACATTAATAAAATCGCCCAATTAGGACTAGTCTCTAAAATCGAGTTTGCATTCCTTTTGCATCTATAACTGCTTGACATCTCTCTCGCATAGATCTAAGCAGCTCCACAAGATAGTCAGAAGGCACAGCATCCCATGCAGCATTAACAGCTGCACGTAGCTCATCGTGCCTGTGTAATGTACCTCCATAGTGCTCTTGTATCCAATCCTTCATCCAATTCCATACCATCTTAATTGGATTCAAATCTGGCGAATACGCAGACCATTGAACGCATTGGATACCACGTTGACGAAGATCTCGAATAGTGCCCTTAGCAGCATAAGCAGGAGCAGAATCTTGCATAAACATTAGATCTCTATTTGTACGTATCCAATTATCAATAATAGGGGGATGATATGCTCTTGATATGTTGCTTCTTTAATACTCCCTTATTCTTTCTCCCAAAATATACCAGGGCCCTTCTTATCACTATGGAAACAGCCCTAAAACATCCAACCTTTACGTCGTTGATAGCGTTCAACAATACATGTAGGGTCCCACTCCTCACTAGGTTGACGTGTAACGTACGTCTTTGTATGTTGATCCCTATTAACCCATGTTTTATCGCTCTATAGTATCTTCTCCCATTGTTCGTACGTCTAATTAATGTGTTCATGAGCCTATTGTAAACACGCTTGTTAATTCTTCTTAGAAATAGGGGGTTTACAATAAGCAACTCGACGTGAGAACCCTGCTCTTCGTAAACCATTTCGAATAGCGTACCATCTAATATCGATCTTTATAGCAATAGAGATTTGTATCTATGGTATATGTCGATTTGCTGGAGAAGAACAAATCCACGTAATGATTTGATCAAGTTCTTCATTCGTAATTATTAAATATCTGCCAAGGCGCTTTTTAGGCGTTAATCGATTATGTATAGCGTATTTAATTTGACGTCGTGTAAGATTTGGTAGCTGCTGAAGAATTTCGTTATACATATGCCCTGCGTCATGTAACGTTTGAATTTGCAAACGTTGATCTCGAGTAGTTTAAGAAGGATTTGAGGGATTCGAGGGATTCGAGGGATTCGAAGGAGGAGGAGGAGGAGGAGAAGGAGGAGGAGGAGGAGGAGGAGACATTGTTATAGCACGTCGATTGCTTTGTGGGGTCATATCTACTATTTAGTTGTTTTTCTATTGTTTTTCTGCTTTTTTGTGTGCGGAATTCATAGTGTGTGCGATTCCTGCGTTAGCCATACAAATTAGTATGGGAGCTAGAGGAACGCTAGATATCCACCAATGCAAAGCTAAAAATTGGCGCTAGCAAATGTTTTTGACAGAATTTGTAGAATGCATAGAATTCGAACGTGCAGAATTCGTGGTAGATAGCAATAGGGATGCTAGCAAGGGTGCGTATGTAAAGTGGGCGTTTTGTAACAAATTTTGACCAGGGGGGGGGTACATTATTTAGGCCTGTACCCGTAGTAAACACCACCTGGGGTGTTCATCGGGACAGTGGGAATTCATCACACATAGACCCAAACACAGACACCCACAAAGCTACTTGCATTATCTGTTCACAATGGCGCTCTCGCCAATCACGATGCTCGTGAGTCTCATAGCTGCCCTCTTCTCATGGACCTCCACAGCCCAATCTCAACCACTCACTGGCAACCAAATCATAACTGGGCTCAGTTTCAGCTGCTTAAGCTACCAAGAGTTCACGGTAAGTTCGTCCCGATGTGGTCCTTCAATCGCCTATTATTTCAAGTCACCACAAACCAGCCTTGTCGACCATCTCGTACCGCCGTCATCCAAAGTCCGAAAATGGAGTCTCGTTGTTGACGTGCTTTATCATCTCCTCTTTTTCGCTGACAGGGAGCTGTTCAAATCAATAGACTCTCATATTGGCTCTTCCGAGCGAGCCTGGGAGCTCTGAGGCCCAGTTGTTTATAGATCAGTTCAATGAATATATAGATGCGAATGTAGCCGGTACGGCGGCTGTTCTGGAGAACCTACCGCCTCCGTTTTCCGACGTGGTACAGTATGCGATTCAGGCAGTTGCCTTTGATGTGAGTTCCACCTCGCTTTTATCGCCCATATTCTCACCTCCCGACCCTACCATCTCCTTCCCAAGGTACCATTATTGTCGTAAATCTCTATTCTGGATAATGTACGCTTGATCAAAAGCCCTAACATGGACTTTTCAACAGTTGATCCGCGAAAATCGCCGCTTCCTCGATGCTGTTGTTGCCAAAGAGGACTCTTTCACCGAGGACCAACAGGAGACGCTCTCTGATCTGGTGAGCCAAGAGAGAGTTATTGTGGAGGTGGGTTTTGTCTTCCTTTATTTTGCCTTATATTTCTCGAAAGGCTGCGCAACTGATCTTTACCGCAGCAATACCTCAACGGGACCAGTGTGTACGCTCCGCAAGTTCAGGACATTCAGGAGCCGTTGTGGGCGGCCTTCCTAGAGAGCGTCAGCAGCACTGTAGAAGCGTTAGAGAACTAATAATTGGATGAAGGTTGAGAATGGATCTTTGCAAACGAAGTGCTTAATTATATTCTTAAAATTTGAGAGAAGTCAATATGTGCTATAAAATTTGGTGTCTCTCAAATTCTGCTTCTTCTCTCAAATCCGGCGAACCATCATGGCCAAACAGCCAATTTAAATTTTCGTCGGAATAGGCCAATGTCTTGCCCCACCAAGTTCGTATAAGGACCGTACTAATATAATAATTCGCTGTGTAACAATCGTGTAGAAAAGCTTGCTGTCGCCAGCTAAAATGTTCAACTGTCTTGTGAAGATACTAGATAGCCGTTCTCATTGTTGATCAAGGCCAGAACTGTGCGCCGCGTGTTAACGGATCCCCAAGATAACCATGGAGCCACGGCTTGCAGATTGGGAGCATGAAATATTGTTCGTCCTGGGTGGAGTCTGCGCCGGCCATGTTGATGATCACGGCAATCTGCCCGGGCGCTCGCTTATCCATAGGCGGAAGATACAGATACGCGGGCCATCGAGATTTGCCGTAAGGTATTCAGGGAGTCTCCACGTGATACTCAAGCAGTTTGACAGCGGCATGGAAGTTCGCGATGCTCCTCTCCACTAGCGGGAGTACAGTACCCGCCCATCTCGACTTGGTCTCTGTCATTCATCATGTACTGGGTAGCTCGAAAATACTTGTTGAGGGAGGCGGAAATCAGACGCTTCGGGCCGCGACTGTCTGTCCGTCGTTTGCCGTAGCCTTAGCAATCTCCTCCGCCTTCTACGCTCGGTACCAGCTTTCTGCATCGTCACGCTTGATCTCGTCCCCCGCCGTCAGAAAGTCCGCGACCTCGCAGCCGTTGTATAGAGCAGTGCCGAGTATTTGTGTGAGTTCGAAGTTGTACAGAGCCCTGAAGAACTCGTACATGGTGAACGGAGAATGCTATGAGTAAGGCCCCGATTCTCCTGTTGGCATCATGTCAATCTAGCAAGATCTGTTATCTGATGCTGGACGAGGTACTTTTTCTAAAGCAAGAAGCCTTTTTTACATCGACATGCTCCTCTCTGACTACAAGTTGGAAGGGGCCGGAGCCCGAGGGAAATGGAGGACGGAAGATTTGGGGCCATTGCTCCCAACACTGTCCTTGCGTATCTGTGCCTGACAGGCCATTCTGATGCCGGTTTGGGATTTTCTCTGCCATTTCGACAAATGCCCGAAGTGCTCGCTTACACGGTTCCAGCACACCATTTTTCATACCCTCGAAGTTGGTCCCTCCTGCCTGGATACATTTTCACGCCCACTGCAGTCGGCTCATCTGTAAGAATGCCTGCAATTAAGCCCAGTTTCAGCCTTAGGCGGGTCCTTGAGCCCACGTATTAAGAGACTTACCCTAGTAAAGAGCGAGACCGACGGTGTTACTCGGGATGGAACACTCCTACATTAGACTACTTGCCACATACAGTAACGCGACCCAATTTGCGAAACACGACACTGGATTCAAACCTGCAACTGAGTCGCCCTTAACTCAAGCTGAAAGCATCGTAAACATTTAACGATGCAGAGTTTGCAGCAGGAAGCCCTTGCCATCTTCCGGCTGGCGCAGTTGGCGTCAACCACCGCGCTGTGAGTACAAAAAACAAAGCCACTCGCGAACAGCCCTGACACGGAGTCCCTGGGTTACAATGGCGGAGTAAGAGCGCTGACCTGCGAAGCGAAACAACAGACTTGCGGCTAACATCTCCGCCGTCCTTGCGTTTCGTGCCTGGGTTCGTCTTCCCATTCCCGCCAGCGGGGCAAAGCTCGTCCCGCACTGATGGGTCCCCTGGTATTGCCAGGCTGTGCCCTTGCTGTGCTTCATCTTCGTCCTTGGCCTCGTCTCGGGGGTGGGGAGTCTTGTTGTGGTGCGCACTTCGTCAGTGGGAGACGATGACAGTGCTGCCCGTCGGTGGTATGCAGCTAGTCTCGGCTTCACCCTCGCGCACCAGCTGTTCTCCCGTCCGGTGCTGAGGCAGATCAAGGCGATCGAGCAGACCCACAATGCGGGGAGGCGAATCTCGTGGCCTTGAGGAGGTGACTCGGGCTCAATGAGCTGAGATTCCCGGTCTCGGAGATACCCGCGTTCGCGGCGGCTGTTGGGGCTACGTCGAGGATCGTGAGGAAGTAGATTGAGCCGTTGAGAAAGGGAGAGATCCAGGATGATTAGGTGATATTGTGAGAAATAATGATTGATCCTCGGAGTGCTCGCGGGAATTCCAACGCCTCTACTACCTTGAACATAAAGCTTGAAAGCTGTTTGGGCAGGGTCTCAACGTACTTTGTACTGTTGCATAGGCTATCTTTATCTTGAGAGTTTCTCTAATATCCCGAGGAGGAAGAACAACCAACTGCTTTTGCCAAAATTTCTTCCCATAGACGCCTGTTGGTCAACAGTTTTTCGGTCTGTTCCTGCGTCTTCTTCGGTTTCTCATTTGCTTGGGGTTCCCGTCTGTGATTCTGCTTCACCAACGCCATCTTTGGCCTTTCTAGGTCCTTGTCCTTTGCAGACTGTTCTTTTAACGCATATTTGGTATCTACTTTCTCCTCAGCTTTGATTTCCTTCTCTAGAAAGACTAACAGGAACGTGCTTGCAGAGACAGCTGTCCTCGCAATCCAGGTGATCTTTAAGCTTTGTGTAAAGGCACTAACGACTTGATCTCTTGTCGTGGCTGCTAACACAGATATAAATGCCTTATTGCCGTGAATTTACGCGTTGTCATCTGAAAGCAGGCCACGGATATTGAGATCAGTGATGCTATCCAAGTGTTTAAAAAATTCATTATTGAAGATGGCAACAGGAATGGTAATGCCCCATATAGCATCATAGCTCCGGAGATATGCCCATGTAGGAGTTGACGAGGCGCTGTCTTCGTCGGACAGATCGGCCTAAACGGCCGGTAGCAGCGTCGGTACTGGTGCTCCGAGGCCAGCAGTCGTAATTATCTGTAGTCCAAGTCACATGCCCATTGGTGAATTGACATCAAGCAGAGCAAATAAGCCAGTTCCTAGGGCCATCAGCCCAAGGCCGACGAAATGCACAAGTTTGTACCTTCCCACCTTTCAAGTGAACGCCACAGCAACAAGGGCGAATGGGATCATTGCTGTCACGGTTGTCAGTAGCTGAACGCCCGATCTGGTGGGCGTAGATTGGAGAACAGATTGAAATAAACTGGTAGATAGTAGATTATCCACACGAATATGAGGGTGTGGACGAAAGTGGCGAAGAAGGGAACTGCAGAAGTCCTAGTTCCAAAGAGACGCGGAGGTATAAGTGGCTCATTTGGGTAGCTCAAAGCTTCATATATGTGGTAGGAGACCAAGCCTACACGTCCAAGAATGAGCGGCACGATGACACCCCAGGATGGCCACGAATATATGGCGCCGCCGTACGTCAATGCAAATAGAATCGCCACGGTCGAAGGTATAGACAGAAAGCTGCCGATGACGTCGAAGCGTCTCAGGTTTTGTTTTAAGGATTGCTTCTCGTATTTAACGTGCAGGACAGCCCACAGCATGACGAGTGCGACTGGTCCAATTGGGAGGTTGAGGTAGAAGACCCATCTCCAGGAGGAATACTGGACAAGGCTTCCGCCGACGAAGGGACCCATAGATGTGCCGATGGCAAACATGGCAGACACGATGCTTATGAACTTCAGCCGCTCTCTAAGGGGGACGAGATCACAAATGATCAGATCGATCATCACGTTAAGACCACCACCCTCGGCACCTTGAATGGCACGACCGGAAATGAGCATGCCTTCAGTGTTCGCTCCGCCGCTGATACCACTTGCCAACACAAATATTGCCACAGCAGAGAGAGTCATTCATCGCCGGTCGAAGAAGTCTGCGGGCTGTCCAAAGTTGGGTTGGAATCATGCGCAGGTCAAGAGATATGCGTTTACGGCCCATGGGTAATTGCTTCCGATGTTCAAGTCTTGAACGATGGTACTTAACGCGGTGGAGACAACTGTGACACGCAGGACAACTGAAGGCACTCGGTATGTGGAAGACGCCTAGGGAGCTGACCTGTCGCCTCGAACGAGTAGAGAAGCGAGGTGACACACAATGCGGCGAAGATAGCCCAAAAGCACTAACCGCGACTTGAAGTTATTCGCGTTTCCCTTATCTTCTTGTGTCTGCTCCGCCGTACTTTGGCCTGTTCCACTCTGGCTGCTGATGCTCTTATGGTCGTGCTCTGCATCTGGGGTTGAGGTTGCCATTTCGCTCAAGGAAGCGGCTAGAAACAGAAGAAACACAAAGAAATTTTAAGTTGTTATTTCTTAGGATACTTGTCATGCGCATGCGCCCGTATGCCGACCTCAGGGCATGTTAGATTAATACAATTTCACTCACTACATTGAACTCGTCTTTTGTTCGTCTTTTGCACGTCTGTTTTACGTCAGGCCGAGGCCGTCTGACAATACTTAAAGTTTTGGAAATTAGAAAATATATGTTGAGTCCCAAAAAATTTCTAACTCATAAATATATTTATTAGGATCCCAGGGGATTGCAAGGGTAATGGAACAGTAGTGTTCCAATTGATCCTGATGCCAAGCTTTAACTAAGGCGTTCTGGCTGCGCCAACTTATGTGACACAGATCGACCCTTAAGGGGACTTCTTGGCTTTCAGGGGACTTGATCCTCAGGGGACTTGATCACCAACCAAGCTATGACGTAGCTTAGCTTTCACAATACGGAGTATTAATGGAGTTGAATCAATTGTAAAATGTGCGTTACGCATGTGTGGACGTTCTAATGTCGACCACGCGCTTTGCGCAGGGCCGTTGTAAGTGGGGCTCAGAGAGCTCCATCCATTGGGTCATAGCTAAGTCTCAGCTGCATATTTTAGACTTGAGCGATTAACTTGCTCCACAAGTACCAGATCGCATCTTAGTATTAGCGTAGGTTAACTACTACGGTAGCGGTCAGAAGTTTTCCTAACACGGCGCTAATAACGCCATGTAAAGTTACAACGCCACGTATTGTCGCCTTGTCGCGGTGAGTATAGAGTGCCCAGAAACTGCCCAATTAAGGTTAGTTAGCCTGTTTGATTGCCCAACATCAACAAGAATGGCCGTACAAAATCAACAGGGCTATCTGTACCCATAGGGTTGGGAGTGGCAAATACTAGCGCCGTGCTAGGGACCGGAGGACACTTCTGCCCGGTACCGTAGTACTTTGGATGCACAAACCCCGTACTCTTCCACATGATGCTCTTTAATTAGTTGTTACCTAATGCAACCTCCTGGACAAATCTGTGGGCCCTTCGAGAGGTTGTGTAGCTCTCTTTCTGTTACTAGCAGGATTGATATTACGCCCTAAATAAACTTGTATGTGTCACCCAAGTCACGTGTCCGTTCGCTCGACGAATCATGACGGAATTTGATGCAGTAGGAGCGCTTTTATCTGGGCAGAGTCCTGCAGGCAGTTGCCGGCTCGGCTGCATGGCTTGTCTGCACAGGTATGATCACCGAGAATACAGGCCAAGGTGGGATTGGGACCGTGATGGGTCTGAGTACGTCATTTATCACGATCGGAACCGTGAGCGGGCCAATGCTCGGAGGTGTGTTGCTAGGCTGGTTTCGATACTACTAGTAGACCGCGTGGTCGGTGCCGATGGCCCTGCTGTTTCTCGACATGATTGTGCGGTGTGTGGTGAGACAGCCAGAGGGCCGTTCGCCGGATCGCCCTCCTTGTTTAACAAGGCCAAGGACAGCGAGTCAGACACTGTCACTTCAAGCCACTCACACCGTGATGTGGAGGGGATTCCGACGGAAGCATCGCCCCTGCGGCCACTGTCGCCCCGTCGGCCACCATCGACTTCGACAACGGAGGTCAGCTCAGACTCAGAACCGCATTGGGGAAGCGACGGTGATTCAATTGCGGAAACCCGCAATCTCTACGCCGTAATGCTTCGAGACGTTGGTATCTGACAAGCATTCTAAGCACGATCGTCCAAGCCGCGTTTCGAGCTGGTTTCAACGTAACTTTACCCGTTCATCTTCATAATACCTTCAAATGGGGCCCATCATTGGTCGGAGCAACTTTCTTCGTGCTCCAAGTCCCTATAGTCTTTCTCTCCCCCCTTCTTGGCTGAGTCCGAGATCGCGTCGATGTCCGAATACCCAATGACGATTGGGTGGACCCTGTTGTGCCCGTTACTATGCTGCTTGGGTATTCCCGGGAGCAGAATACCTTGGCTCAGTGACAGTCAGAAAGTTAAACAAGCGGCCTTTTTTGTATGCATATGTGGCATTGGATTGTTTTGGCCATTTGTTCAAGGTGCTGGGCTTTACACGTGCGGAGTTAGTTAGACGTCTGTTGCTCAATAAGAAGACGAATGCTAACTACGGATTGTTATCGTGAATAGACGTGGTCGGGAAGCTGGAAAAGAAACCCCAATATATTGGCCCCAACGGTGGGCGCGTGAGGTGCTTCGCGATGATATCGGTCTCTTTTAATGCTGGCCTGACGCTGGGTCCCGCCGTCGCTAGAGAGCTGTTTTGCAGCATTGGGTATAGTTATATGAATATTATTCTCGGTAGGCGATGACTCGATTCCGTTTCTCGATCTACATTTGCTGATATATCCTCTAGGTGCTATCTGTCTGGGAGTGGCAGTTACCACGTTCCCATTTATCGATGTATAGTGCTTAGATTTTTCGCTGGAAGGTTATGCACTTAATGGACCTGCAAGTTTTTACGACAAAAACCTGGAAGCGAAAGCAGTGTGAAGCAAAAGCCATATTTATCTGCAATTCGCAGCGGTTAGACGAACAACGGGTGCTCACCGCTCGAAAATGAGGAAGGCCTCACGTCCAGCTAGCCATGTGGTCACAAAGTTCGGAGGAAAGTCTGCAAGACCGACCACCTGGTGCACATGCCGATGGTCTGTCAAGGCATCTGTCAAGCAGGATGAAGAATGGCTCTGTTACCTGTCAAAAGCTGCGCATTGTGCAGAAGCAAGATAGATGACAAAAGGAGGCCCTAAATCAAGCGCACGGGCCAACAGCAAATTCTCGTACGGCCAATCAGGTGCGTAGTAGTACGATTGACAGCATCTACTAAGTACAGTACTCCGTAACGGTACAACAATGCATAAAGTATTATTAGCGTGCTCTACTTAGTACTAGTAGTCACAGTTTGTAAATGCCAAGATGAAACGCCACAAGATCGCTCCATTAGGATTAGCCCGTTGTATTCGGTATCAAGTGTGCCTTCCATTAGCATCCACAACCCTCACCGCAAGAGGGTGAGCAGCAGGAGCCAGTGACGGTGCAGCCTAAGCAGAGGCTGAGCCGAAGTTGAGCCAGGTGACTAATTCCTGAGCCAGGCAGCAAAAACGGCCAACCCACCTAGGTGTCAGGGGCGCGGTCAAGATTCGGTGCAGAATACTACTAACATAGTAATATATCACGCTAGGTCTAAACCCCTTTCAAGATACTCAGGCAGTTGTTTGATGCCTTGACTCTTCAGTAAGAGTCGAGGCTTGTGTCTTTCAGAGCCAGATATAGTTCCTTTGTTGGTAATGTTCGCCATCAAGTCAAAAGCTTAGAGCAAATGGCTTGGAAGTAACATGTTCGAATGGAACAACATGAGGCGCAAGTAGAGAGACCTGTGAACAAGAAATATATAAAGCCAATTGAATACGATAGGGAAAACACATCTTTCTTACCAAGCCAGCTGCGGTAGTATTTGGAGCACAATCTCAATCATTTATCATTCCACTGCAATCTACACAACTACCATCCGAGCGTTCGGGACCCCACAACCCGCTCCAAACAGCTTCGCAGACACTGATTATCAACATTGACGACAGCTTAAAGAACTCACTCATAAACATCCTTCACATCTTCCAACCACTTCAAGCCTACTTCCAGCGTATAAACACCAGCATATTTTATTGATGCATACTCTCTAGCACCTTCAGTTGCAGCGAATACCAATTGTATCTATGTCTCAGGTTCAACAGTTAGATTGCTACCGTCATGACACGAAAGGCGTCACAGAAGAAGCGACCCTCGTAACCTTTCGCGAATAAGGCGCCGTGGCTCCAGTGACATTTGTGAGACTTTATATACCTCAGGGGCGCTTGTAAAGCCCTGTTTAGCTAGAAATTAGAGGAACCCTTGCCGTTGACACTACACGCCTAGCTGCACCGTGATCTGATGCTCTGGCACTATCCAATGGTGGGTGTGCTCCTAGCCTTTGACATTTTTAGTCAGTCCCAATGAGTGAAAGAGAGTTTTTGGGCCCTTGCCACTCCTGTGCAAGGATATACTTCGGGTTTGTGCGAGATATCTTATGGAAGAAGAGTCCGAATTGCATCCAAGGTCCAGGTGCTTCATATGTGCGACGTGGAGATGCTAGAGTTGTAGATGCATATTACAAAGCTGACACCCGTTTGACGAGAAGGGCTAACGTCTATTGTGTTCCGTGTTTCAGGTTGACATGTCGGCCTGTATTTTTGGATGTCGTCCCGTATTCCATAAAGCTTCCGTGCATGATAAATTGATGGCTTGGCGGATGCACTGCAGTCCCGGGCTTTCCATCGTCGCAAGTTCTTGGTGGGTTGATCATGCGGACAACCCCACCTCACACGAGACAATAAGCGTCAAGCTGTATGAGCGCCAATTGGCCAGTTTCTCTACGTTGAGTTCGTGCTATCTGCCTGTGTTTGATTGGTCAACTTCTAACTTAGTGCAATTTCGAGGGGAATTTCACTGTGTTGTACAGCCTATTTGTACTTATTACTCCGTGCTCAGATCCTGGATAGACAATACAATTTGCTCTATACACTCTCTGAGAGGCAGATTAATAATAAGATATGCCGGTATATCGTTTGGCTCCCACACGCAGCCTCGCCAAAGTTAGCATGCCCTGCGTTCCAGAGGCGGTGAGTGGTACGCTCTGAGTGCGATGAAACTAATTCTGCTGCTTCTGCATGCGAGACGAGTCTGTTCTTGTAGCGCCAGGTGGCGTAGATCGATCTAGCAGTCATCAAGATCAGGCTAAAGACGGCAAAGGACCATGTACTTCAGCTGCAGGCTGCAATGATCCGGAAAGCCCTCCGAGGAGGGCTCGGGTCGCTTGTATTGCGATGCTCTGCCCGGTCAAAGCAGGTTGATGCATGCATCTTCTGCACGTGTCTCAAGGCGCTGAAAGAGAGAACAAGCCCCCCCTCCCGAGCCATGGACAAAATCTGCCGCTTTGGTCATTGGCTCAACGAGGTCTAAAGAAGAGAGTTAAGAGAACGACTATCTGCTCCAGCTCTGCAGCAATACTTCAAGAAGGCAACCAGGGAGGCACGCGCCTAGATCTCCAAAGGGTGCCTTCCGATTGGGATATGAAACGCGCTTTCCTCATATCCGTTTCCGCTACTCAAGTTCTTTCGTCTCATCCGTTTCTCTCTGGTAGGCTCCGAGTCGAGGCATAGGAAACTCTCTCCATGATTTGGTGCTTTCAAGATATAAGCCTACGTACAGCAGCCGCACCATTGGTCATCAATCGCGGAGAAAAGTTACTACAGATATACTACTTCATATAGCATTCGTTGTCAGGATGCTCACAACATTGCACGCCCTGTCACCAGCGGCCGTTTTCCTGGCATACTTCATTGCTTCGCTCGCTCATCCTTTTGGGCACCAGAAACGACTTTCAGTACAGGGAAACAATCGATCAGGCAGATCTCGCCGTGTGGCTTGCACGATACTCACAACATTGGTGGCGGCAACGTACATATTGGAGTCTATTCTTCTTGCATGCGTGCTCCCTGGCCATGCTGCGACATCCTCGGATGAAAGCTTGATTTTCACGCTTTACTCGTGTCTCGTCTGGCTGCTTCTATTCCTTGGTCTCCTAGATTGCCCACCTTCGGACATTAGGCGCAGCTTCTTAGCTGCGTGGACGGTAGCCTTGGCTTTTGAAGCTGTTTTCGTGGTCTTCGGTCTATTGACGCCGAAATTATCTGGTCTTGCAAGAACTGGGCGCGTTGCCTTGCAAATAGCTCGCGCCGCGTTCCTCTTGATTTTAATTGGTATCAGTTTCGGAAACCGTCTTACACGTTATGCAGAAAAAGCCAGCGACGAGGAAATTACACCCTTACTGGCCAGGATCGAAAGCCACTTCAGCACATCTGGTGCCCACCATGTGAATGGTGACACTTGTGGATCTGCTCAAGCCGAAGATTTGAAGGCGGGAGATAAGGACTCGACTCAGTCGAAATCAAACAACGAATACGAGGATACCGATAACGAGGATGAAGATAATGCGGAGCAAGGAAAGCTCAAAAAAGAGTGGTGGGTATACACCAAGGCATTCGCAATATTCCTTCCACATCTGTGGCCAAAGGAAAGTCTCAAACTCCAACTTCATTTCCCGGCGCTGGGCCTTTGTCTACTGGGTCATAGGGCACTCAATGTGCTGGTTCCACTTCAACTTGGAGTCGTTGTCAACGTACTCAGAGAATCTGGTGGTAGTGTTCCATGGCTAGAAGTTGGTGTCTACGTCGTGCTTTGCCTCGTCGACTCTTCTGCTGGACTAAGTCTCATCCTGTCATGGTTGTGGATGCCTATAGGCAGAAACGCAACGGAAAAGCTAAGCGCTGCCGCTTATAACAAAGTCATGAACCTATCAAGCGACTTCCACGACTCTAAGAAAAGTGGCGTGCTGTGGAAGGCGGTTAGTCGGGGTGAGGCGCTGAGCGATCTTTCTTACACGATCGGCTTCGAAATGATACCAATGTCAGCTGATCTATGCATTGCTGTTGCCGTGCTCGGCTGGCTGTTTGGTGCATACATGTCCTTCATTGTCGCTGTAGCCTCTGTACTTTACCTGTGGGCTACCGCCAAAACCATCCCCTTGAAGACGAGGTGTCAACGGAATCTCATAAACGCCTGGGAATCCGAATATTCACAGATGACGGAATCGTCGCTGAACTGGACCACTGTTTCATACTTTAACCGAATCGGTTACGAGCAAAACCGATACAAGGACGCGATCAAAATCAGCCAGGGTAAACTGATACGATATCAGGTACTCGCTCTCATCGTCACTGCCGTACGTGCATTGGTTCTCGAACTAGGTATGCTAGCCGCCGCCATACTCGCGGCTTACCAGATATCTCAAGGCAAGAGAAGTGTAGGAGACTTTGTTGTCCTCATCACATACTGGGCTCAGCTAACACTTCCACTTCACTACTTTGCTAACGGATTCTCGAAGATTGCAAAATCACTTGTTGACGCTGAGAAGCTCTTGGAGCTTCTCCAGACGGAACCCACAGTCGACAATCATACCGATGCTGCCGAGTTTGTCCTCAAACAAGGTCAGGTCGATTTTGATAGAGTATGTTTCTCCTACGATGGCAAACGACAAGTTGCCGACAATCTATCCTTTCGCGTTGAACCTGGTCAGACGGTCGCGCTGGTTGGTGAAACAGGAGGAGGCAAGTCTACTATCCTCAAACTCCTTTTCCGCTTCTATGATGTGACTAGTGGAAATATAATGGTTGATGGGCAAGACATTCGACATGTCACCCTAGAGAGTCTACGAGCCAACATTGGATGTGTCCCGCAGGATCCTGTACTTTTCAATCAAACCATACTACAGAATCTACGATATGCAAAGCTCGACGCGAGTGAGGAGGAGGTCCAAGCCGCTTGTAAAGCAGTCGCGCTGCATGAAAAAATCATGTCATTCACAAAAGGGTACTCGGAGAAAGTCGGAGAGCGTGGAGTGAAGCTTTCCGGCGGCGAGTTGCAACGAATTGCCATAGCGCGTGCCATACTCAAGAACCCGAAAATACTGCTTCTTGATGAAGCTACAAGCAGTGTTGATAGCGAAACGGAAACAATCATTCAAGACAGTCTGAAAAAGCTTTGTGCTGGTAGAACCACTTTTGTTGTTGCTCATCGTCTGTCTACCATTGCTCATGCAGATCTAGTCATGGTCATAAAGAACGGCCGCATAATCGAAAGGGGAAGTCACGACAGGCTCATGCAAGTCAGTGGCTGCTATAGCAAGCTATGGACTCGACAGCTTCGCCTTCAGACTGGCAACGACCGGCCCAGATTACGGAGTCGCTCACCAGAAAAGACCACAGCGCTCGTAGATGATGTGACCGACTGTGATGTTGGGAGCCGTAAAGGCCTCCTCCAAAACAAAAGGCAAGAAAACCGGCGCTCGGAGGAGGGCTATGGATCGATCGAACAAGCCGGAGATGAAGGGAAAGCCGCACAGCCTGTAATGGATGCTAAAGTACGAGGTCGCAGTCCACGCCGAGATGACGAAGCTTGCTCACGATCCGACTCAATGCACAAAAAGAACCCTAGCTCAAATTCATCTCTACGCAAGGATGAAAACACCCTTCAGGAAAGGAGGTCTCGATCTACCTCGTCGGCACCGACCACCTTGAAGCCTGACGCACCAGAGTTCGTGCCCCACAGGCTACCAAGAAACATTCCATACCTGAGCGGCCACACTGAAAGCCCCCAGAATTCAGATGCTCATTTTCGGTCTGAGTCTCGCATCGCTCTATCTCGAGCTGCGATAGAGGGTAAGGAGAATGCGCCCTTCTCAAAAGAACCATCAGTGACTCAATCGACTTCAGCAATCCCATCCCTGTCGGGAGAGGAGTTCACCAGAGCCGGGTCCTCCGTTCCAGATGGCCACAGAAAAAGGGGCAAGAGGACTGAAAACGCTTCAGCTACGACATCCAGCACTGAGATTCAAGCATTCGAGCCATGTAGGACGAGTAAAAAATGGCAGGAAAGGAAGCCGGCGTTCAATTCCAGACGCGATCTCAGCAAAAGTGAACCACATGCTTCATCCGAAGTAAATGGGACGGAAGGGCAGGGAGCAGAGTGGGAGTCTGCATCGTATCCTGGCTCAAGACATTGCGATCGAGATGAGATGAGTGGAAGGAGTCGATCGTCGACGCATAACGAAGCACTTCTATCAACCCCCAGGACTAATCGAGATGGTCGTATTTTGAATAATCACAAGACTCAACATGGCAAGGCCGAGGGTGAAAGTAGTGAACCTTGCAAAGCGAGAAGATCATGAGCAACGATTAGTCAAGTCACCGATACTGGCGAAGAGACCAAAATCGTCGCACAGGCGAACAGTCCATCCACGGAAGCAAGAACACGAAAATGTTGGGGGACATGCCTCCAGTCAGTGCCGAGGCTGAAGACATGAAGTGGCTCGTTGAAGTCTTGATTTCTTGATTCCTCCTAAGAGTTGCCAAGTTCGTGATACGTTTGACGGATGGTGTTCGATGGCAAGGATGAAGCACACCAAATTTATAAAAACACGGATAGCAAGAGCAGATCATACCATCCGATAGCGTTGCATTCGAGATCCAAAAAGCATTACTAAAGACCATTCTATGATGGAGGTGTGAGGGCGGCTGTGCTGGTAGGCTCGAAGCACTGATACTAACTCTTCTTAATTCGTTCAGCATGATCGACCCGATGCACATTCTCTCCACCTTGGTACAGATCCTGCGTGCGTTGCTGATCTCATCTGATTGGGGAAATCACGGGTTCTACAAGCCCACGTACTCCAGTTTCTCAAGATCGCCCCCAGCAGCTCGGCGATGTGCCTGCTTGATCTAGTCTTTACTGCTGTTTCGAATTGTCCCTAGTAATTCGTTGGAATTTGATGTATAATCGCTGGCGAGTGTGGTCGCTGTAGAGTTTGCCTAGTGGTTTCATACACGTGCCATCAAATCTGCTTTTTCTGACTTCTATCATGGTGCTAGGGCTTCATCATATTGTGACAGGGAGACTGCTTCAGAATCGTATACACAGATCATCCTGTATCTCGTGTTATAGTCTGGATCAACATTTGACTCGTATTTCTGCTTAAGGCGTGCGAAGGCCTCCCCTAGAGACTAGCATCATAGTCCAGGTCAAGATATTGTACCCAGGCTGCGCGGAAGCTGAATGTAGAGCTCATATGAAGTAGACGTGCAGGCTGGAGGGAGCTGTATCCAAGACGGCGTTGCGAGAATAGGAATAATAAGAGTCCCAGGCTTCGCGTCCGGCTGATACAAGTGGTCCCAGAAACATATATAACACAAAACACATTTCATAGGATATATTCAATCCAAAGAATGTTGTAGTCGTCTTCGGACACTTGGTCTAGCGGTCTGACTGCTAGGTTATTGTAAAACCAGCTTCCCATACTACCCAGTTTGGATTAGTGGGTTTTCATAGCGGATACATTGTGTTTCTCTCCTTCTAGTATCTAACTTCTCCTACGGCAAAGTTAGAGAGTGGAGAACACGTGTGGATGTGAAATTTTTTGCCTTTTGCCTAGTTGTCTGGTTGGAAGTGCTGAGGTTGTAGGAAGTAGTGAAATTTGATTACATGAGAAGACCACAAGAAAGGCCGATAGCATGTCCTCTGAGCTCGAACCCTTTGTTGTTATTACGAAGATCATTGTCACGTGCCGGTTCCGTTAGCTCTACCTTGGCGCCGCTGCTTCTTAGATTAGCTCTTGCTGCTTATCAGCTTCCTCTCCTCCATGCACGTACGAATCAATCAAGTAACTTGATCCATTGCAATCGTACATTGGAGTGCTTTCCACTAGAAACGCACTAAGATCTGTTCCAAGGCGATTGATTATGTAGTCTCATCCTCGCTTACTTGTTCATGATAGCATTCCAGAGCGTTGGATACCGGAAAGGCAGCTGGCAGTCAAGAAAGGCAGAAGATAGCTTTGACTTCCAGTCCACTATCAAGCGAGATATGCCTGCCCCCAACCCTGCAGCGAAACCCTAGATCGTTTTAGGCACAGTTAGGCTGAGCACTAAATCAGCAGTTTCATTGTTCTTTGATTTGTAAGCAGTTATCTAGTAATAGTCAGTGGGGATAGATACATCAATTAAGTGTGGTTCGAAATCCACAACCGCTGTCCTTTTAGTGGAGTGATTAAGGTGTCCCTTTTCTGTAATTAACGTCTCTCTTTTACTAGGTAACTCTTACGATTACAGACAGCTCTGACTATCTAATTGCAGCTGATATTCCTTATCTCCAAGTGTAATAAGCCCTACACGGCACTACTCGCCGACTTGTGTAACAGCCACATTAGCTGCGGTTTTAGGAAAATCTTCGAGCCACCAAACTTAGCTCGCTACTATTATAATAAATATTCATTGAAACAACACAGAAATGAGTTGAATGGCCAGAACCAAGTAATATTCAGTTCTATGACGCCCATTTCAGTCATCTCAATCAGTTCCATTTCCAGCTAGCATCAGTAACGTTTCCAGGAATAAAAATAGGCTGAAACGCTAAACGCCAAGCCAATTCTTTTGCAAACGGGTGTGTGATGCACAAAGTCAGGCAGCTAATCTGCATGAGACAATCTGCATGAGACAATCTGCATGAGACAATCTGCATGAGACAATCTGCATGAGATAAGTAGAAAACAAGTTGTTCTATCTAGCTAGAGGGGGGGGAGCGTGCGTATATACGTACAATCGGCTGTACGGCACAGCGAAAATGCAGGAGAAATAGACTAATCAACCACAGGCGAAACGCAGGGACTTCGCGTAGAAATTCCAACCTATCAGCGCTCATACAGTTCGAGAATTGGCCACGTTAGTCCGGGCTCTCCAAAAACCTGACCCGGGCCCACTCTGGCCCGAGCGAGACTTCGGACCGCCTTCGTGGTATTAAACCACGCGAGATACGACAATTCCCGCCTCTCAGTGCCAGTATCATGCCTTATCAACAAGACTCACCAAGCCCCTCAATGCATTGGAACGTTATGGGCTCAGCTGTGTCCTCGCGGGGTGCTACCCTCGTCTTCATACTCTTCACGTATCTCCTTATCGTCCGGGCCTTGCGTTACCGGCGTATGAAGAAGCTAGAGCATTCTTTCGGCTACGGCACTAGGAAACCATTAGGCGAGATGACCTTGGACGATGCTGCGGCAATACTCCTCGAACTTTCTGAGATGGAGTTTCCCTTCAGCTTCCTCAATTCTACCCAGTTTGCGTTGTTCAGGGTCAGAGATGGCAAGCCCACGCGAGGGATAGCTTTGCGTGTATTGTGTTTCGGGGCTGACGAGCCTACAGACTTATGGCATCCCCACAGTATCCAGTCTTCTTGTCTCCACCAATCAGATCACGTCACCTGAGACGGTGTCAAAACGCTTGGTTGACACCGGTGTGCTCATGTTTGAGATTTGGGGCAGAGCGCCTACGTCAACGCGATGGCTCGAGTCGGTAGCGCGCATGAACTACATCCACGGCATGTATCAGAAGGCTGGTAAGATCTCAAACGACGATATGCTCCACTCGCTCAGTTTCTTTGCCGGCGAACCCTTCAAATGGATTTCTAGATATGAGTGGAGGAATCTCTCCGATATGGAAGTAGCAGCCCTGGGAACTTCTGGAAGGGTTTGGGCGAGGCGATGTCGATTGACTTCAGCTGTCTACCAGGCCACCGAGAAGGCTGGAAAGATGGAAGTCACTGGCTTGAAGAGACTTTGGCTTGGGCCCAAGAGTACGAAAGGGTCCATATGGTGCCGCATAAAGACAACCACAAACTGGCGCGTGCAACCATCGAGTGCATACTCTGGCCTGTGCCAGAGAAGCTTATGCCCTTGGGTTATTGCATGTTCCAGTCATTGATGGACGACCGTCTCACGGAAGCAATGATGCAAGTAAATTTGCCTTCCCTGTTCGATCTCCACTGATTCCTGTAGACTAGAAAAGCCGTCACCCGTATTCTTCACTTTCACGGAGACAGCGCTGGCTTTCAGGAGGCTCTTTCTCCGGCACTTGGCATTGCCACGGCCGGAGATGTGGAGGTCGCGCTACTTGGAAGACGAAGCCAATGAGTTCGGACGCTTCAACCTTAAAATGTATGGTGGACTGCCAATATACGTGAAACCGACATTTGCCTGGCGGTGGAACATACAGGCATGGCTCTTTTGGGCCCTCGGCAAACCGATCCCGGGCGATGGAGGGAACAAGTATATTCCCCAAGGCTATAATATTCATGAGGTTGGGCCGAGAAGTATGGCTGGCAAGGGGCTGAACGCAGCTGCCGACCTCCGCGAAAAGATGCTACAACGCGGAAGATGCCCATTTCGTGCGTAGATGCACCGTCGTCCGCTTTAGGGCACAGATCAAGACGAAGACAAAGTTTGAACTAGCACCGCGTAGAATATTTAGTCCCTCTGCTGCGAACCGCCCCGATTGTTTTTGACGTTCTGCTTCGAGTCTTGTTGACGTGTGTGCTAATCTACACATATAGAATATAGTTCGGCCAGTTGACGCTAAGATACAATCGTTCAGGCAAAGCCCGAAGACAAACCCAGCCCTCCGTGAGGATATAGAGCCTTGCCACCATGTACACCATCATACCGAATCAGTGCGTGACATTAATGAGCCACCGTGGAGCCAAGAGGTAGAATTCCCAGATGTCTTTGGTTGACTTGCCTGCTAAGACCAGCTCACATTTTCGGGGGATGGTATATGTACAGGTAGACCAGTTGATAGTGAAAAATGTTGATTGTTGAGAGTGACAGAGTCGCGATCTTCCAGTGTAAGCTCTCCACAGGACTCGGAACACGAAGTTCCAAGCGATCAGGTGCATGCCACAATACTCACACCCCAATCTTGACCTTTCCAAATTCTATTTCCACCTTGAAACCTGAGCATAAGTGACTGCAACCTGAGCGATGAATGAGCAGCTCTAAGCTGTGGCTGGGCGAAGACTATTCCGAGCCTGAGCAGCCCTGAACATCGACTGAGTTCTGTCTTGAGCTCCCCGTGGAGCCTAGATGCTTAGGCCCGGAGGCCCTTTCTAAGCTCGGAGAACCTAGTTTCATTGCCCTTCAGGTTGTTGAGTTCTATATTTAGGCCCCTGTCACTCGCATATACGGAGTACTTGCCCTTCGATCTACTGTGCATTGCGAAAGTGTTGCAATTCCTTCTGAATAGGGCATATTTCGAAGTTCCTCGGAAAGCGTTTCTTGAAAACGTTAATAAGCGCGTCTGCCTGTATCTTCTGAATTTCCTTTGTGAATTAGATAGCTATTGATTAAGCAAGTATCTAGAATATAATACTAAAGAGGACGCCAAGTACGAGATTCCTAACATTAATGAACAGTTATATTTGTCTGAAGTTGATCTGCAATATTAATATTATCTATAAAGTGGTTATATTGATTGATTCTAAGAGGGATTTCGAGCTATTTACGAACGAATTCTCTAAAAACAGGGCGTACAATATAAGTATTAGTTAAGGTAAGTGCTAGCTATTGTTAGTAACATAGTATCATCTTATCTTTAAGGCGAAATGTAATTATCATAGCTAATACAGCATTATTATCTTGCTAGAGAAAACAGAATATATATCTATTAATCTTAGCAAGTGTTAAGTTCTATACAAGCCCTTGATTATGCTCTTTAAGCTTAATTAATTAATTAGGGAATCTAGGAGCGTTTTTGTAGGTAATGCCTATACAGTAAATGTTAAGAGTAAGTAGAGCGTACGCAACATTAATATTCAAGAATAGATTATTAAGAAATAAACAAAAAACACGCGTTAGATGTTATTAATGTAGATGTTCTGCAAATCAGATAACTAATACAAATGTAGGTGCAAGATGTACTAAATTTAGTCTATTAGGTACTCTTTGTGGCACAATAAGTCCTGCTTTTGGAATGCTCTCAGGACCATTTTCTTGACTGTGCCAAAGCTAATTATAGACGTAGCCATGATCTCTAAGAACCCACACCTTGTAACCCTCTGAAATTGGCTTGTTTTTTAGTTTGACTGTATAATTTGATCGTCCTTGAAAGGGTATCATAGCTTCGTCAATGGTGAGATGAGAGCTTGGTGTCCAATTTGCACTGCAATTTTGTCTAATTATAGACATAATAGGCCCAACAGGCCATGCAAAAGACTCTCTGACTCTTCGTGGATGAATAGATCGATCGCGTAAAGTGAGATATCGATGAATTTGCTGAAAACGTTCTAAACTCAAGGATTTATTTAAGCAATGCGACATTTGCCAATACTCTTCGTGCTTTTTTTCTATGTGTTCCCCTATATACAGCAGACATCTAATGTCTCACCATAGGTCCGTAGAATTGACTGGTTTCCAAGGGCGGGCGAAGGGGCATTCCTTCGCAATTTGACGAGCATTTTCGGCGTACGAATTCGTCGCATCGACAATTATATCAATCACAGCCTGCGAAAACAGCTTTTTGAACGTTTGAAGCTCAGATAGACCCGTAGCGCTCGATTCAGAGGATTTATAGCGTAATTTGAGCAAGGGTTCGTACGCAGGGAGCTCAGGGAGATGATTTTCGTCGAATTCGGAGGAGAGAGGAAGATGCTCAGTTGCGACAGGGCGCAACGCAGTTTCTGGTCGATTTCGAGCTTTTTTTTTCGTGATTTTAGGGTCAGTAGCTGGAGAAGGCGCTCTTTTCTCTTCCCAAATAGTAACAGGCTTGCGCACACGCTGGGATTTGCGTGGTATCATGTCAAAATAGCCTTATTGAGCGTCAGAATTTGAGGATAGAAATTTGAGGTGGTTGCGGCGAAATGATGCTAAAATTCTTGGCACGCTAAAAGGGATCCAAAACGCAGCACAAGGGATA